GGGCTCGGCTCCCCGAGCTGCCCTGGGTGGCGGACCGCGGGCAGGCGCGGGGGGTCTCCCGCCGCTTCGTCCTCCTCCTTTGCTTTCCCTTTCGGAAGAGCGGCGCTCCGGCAACCCGGAAGTGGGGAGCGCTTGCCTGCTGATTTCCCTGCCTCTTTGGGCTGCCAGGACTCAAGGTAGGACCAAAACATGGATTTGGAAAAGGAAAATACTGTAGAGATGTCTTTTGTTACCTCTCTCTCTCTGTGGCTCACACTTTTCTTTCCTCGACCGCTCTCCTTGCCTAGGGGTCCCTTCTGATGCTGCCCCCCCCCCCCCAGCTGAGCGATCTAGTGGCTGGGAGGACAGCCCAAATGCTCGAATCGATCCAGCAATGAATTCAGTTGGAAATGTGCTCATGGAAAGGGGCCCCTTAGTTCAGTATTTAAAAAAAAAAAATAATATAACAAAGCAAGTGACTTGGTAGGTAGTTCTCCCAGTGTCAGAGTCAGTTATGACGGGGCTGTTTTTCAGCCGGGTCTTCTCCAAAGGGCTGCTGTCCACTTCGGACGTTTTAGACCAGCCAGAACCCCCCGGGGGCGGGGGGGGGCTTTCCTTCTTTGGGTCCTGATGAAGCCAGAAAGCAGCTGAGGCGTCTAAAGGTTTTCTTCTATCGGCAGTTGACTGGGGGGGCGCGCGCGATGCAGTGTGATACTCTAGAGCAAGCAGAAGCAGAGAGTGGAGCTCCCCACCCCCACCCTGTCCAGCTGGGCCTGATCCTGGAGGCCAGAGACCACCCCCATAGCTCGGTCAATGACCTGGACTACCAAAGTGGCTTTATAGCCTATCCTTCCCTATATGGGAACTGTTGGGGACGGGGTGTGTGTGTGTGCGCGCACGTGAGCATTGGAAGACCAGAGCCACCTTCCTCTTCCAGAGAGGAGAAACAGTGAAGTGCTAAGTTGTACCAAACCTTTTATCACCTTGATAAGATAAGCTACTCTTTGAACAATGGGTGACAGAGTTCAGGAAGTCACACACAATTTTCTTCAATGTTCAGAAGCTCCCACCCAAGCGGGTGATTTAGCATCCATGAAACAGCAGGCAGGTGGGTTATATATATAGCAATTTCCCAATCCAGGATGGCCAGTTTTGGGAGAAAGGAAAGAGGAGGAGAGCCATTTATGCCACTTTGGTCTCATTGGGGGGGGAAGTGGGGTATATACGTAAAGCACAACAAAGATATAGTATGGAATAAACAGTGATCCAAATTCCAGCAAGATGCAAAGTTATAATATGTGCATTCATGGTGCATATTAAAACTTTGGGTTTCATTTGGGAGCTACCTGTAAAAACTCAAAGGAGTGAAGCCATCATCATCTTGGAACGGCGGAGTCCAGGCCCTGTCAAGGAGGCACAAAGGGGGAATCGAACTCCCAACTTCTGGCTCTACAGCCTAGAGACCTAAACCCCTAAGCTCTCCAGCAGTTCTTTTGGGTGGGGTTTTTCACCTTCACTCTAGCAATGCTTTTCATCTGATAAATTAGAAATCAATTTCTTACAAACGCTCCTCTATCAATGTAAATGTTCTTTTTTGTTTGTTTGTTAAGAAGCCAAACCTTTCCCATTACATTTATTTCTGGCACTGTGAAATAGTCCCATGGGCTGACGAGAACATTTCAATGGGAAGGGGCCCAATGCTCTCCTACCAATGTAAATGTTCTTTTTTTGTTTGTTTGTTAAGAAGCTAAACCTTTCCCATTACAATTATTTCTGGCACTGTGAGGTAGTCCCATGGGCTAACGAGAACATTTCAATGGGAAGGGGCCCAATCCCTTTCCAGCTGTACATGGAGGGGCAGGCAGGACTCGGACAACTTTGTTCTAAAACTCTGTTTTTCTCCTCCTAGGAAAAGGGGCCGCCTTGACTCGATTCCCGCAAGCTGCCCAGCTCTCATGGATCCCTGACTGAGTCGCTGCGCCACCTCCCCGGCTGCCCGTCCTGTTCTGACTGCTGCACAGGACACGGCCGCATCATGGCGCTGGCCCCTGCCGCGGGCCTCCAGGACATGACATGGAGAGGTCGCACCCAAGGGACCTCCCTGCGCTAGGCTACCCGTGCAAGAACATGGGTCGGGACGGACAGGGCAGGGAGAGCTGCCCCTTGGAGAGCGAGGGGGCAGCCGTCGGGGGCCTGCTGCTCTTGGCACTGAATGGGTGCCAGGAGACCAAGCGGCGCAGGCCGGAGAACGGAGACGCTGAGGGCGAAGGGGCGTCCAAGCGCCCCCGGGGGGATCCAGCCCAACAACACGTCCCCGTCAGCCGGCTGGCTCTGGACTACGTGGTGCCGTGCATGAGCCTCTACGGGATTTGCGTCAAAGACTCCTTTCTCGGGGAACCCCTGGGCGCCCGGATCTTGGCCGAGGTCGAGGCCCTCCACCACAGCGGGAAGTTCCAGGACGGGCAGCTGGTGAGCCAGAGGACGGTTCCTTCCCAGAGCATCCGTGGAGACCAGATCGCCTGGGTGGAGGGCCGAGAGCCTGGCTGCCAAGCCATTGGTGTCCTCGTGGCCCGCGTCGACGAGCTGATTGTGCACTGCGCCGGAAAGCTGGGGGGTTACGACATTAACGGCAGAACCAAGGTGAGTCTGTCGGGGCCACAGGTGGGAGTCGAGACGCCCAGGGGTCCGGAGCCTCTCCCGTTTGGGGCCTTTGCGCGTGAAACCAAAAGGCATACGCGAGGGCCTCCTCTCTCTGCCGGCTACGAGGAGAGCATCGCTGGGTGAATAGGCTCCAGGCATCAGCTCCTCGGTGGGAGAGTGTGCTTTCGCCGTGGTTTTGAGCCCCAGCCCCCGGTCTTGAGAAAAAGAAGGTGCAAACGGTGATGCAAACATTGCTCTCTTTTTGTTGAGGCAGCGAGGTGACGTTTGCCGCAAGAGGAGGTGTGTGTGCGTGCGTGCGTGCGTGCGTGCGTGCATGTGCGTGTGTGTGTGTGTGTGTGTGTGTGTGTGTACGTTCTCTTGCTAAAGCGGAAGCCCGTTTGTGGACTGGTGGTGCTCCTTCACGCTCAAAGCCATCACCAGCTTATCTTCCACAGCCACCAAGATTACTGCTTCCTTTTCTTGTGTCTCGGTGTTTTGGGAGACCATCCCTATTCCACGTGGCCTGTTTCCCTCCGGTGGGAGTCAGCTTTGGAGTGCCCTGGATTTCTCTTTCCCCACCCTGAAAAGGAGCCATGTGAGAAGCGGGGGGCCCTTTCTCCACTTCTCCCCACCCCTGAGGCCTTTGGGAAGGGGAAAGGCAGGAGTGGCCGCCTTTTGCCCCCTTGGGCGTTGAGACGGACAGACTTTAAAAGGGCCAGGGGAACGGCGCTCCTGTCAAGCCTCTCAGATGAGGAGGGAGAGCCTCACGGTCTCTCCTCCGCCAGTGCTGACTTCTGCCCAAGGAAAAAAAAAGGCGCTGGGTGGACGTCTGGTGACCCCTGGCATTGGCGTGGGGCCTGAGTCCTGGCCTGTTTCCTTTAAGCCAGGCGGTGTCTTTGGGTTTCTGCTCCAGAGGTGGGAGCGGGAGAGAAAGACAGCCTGCACTCGGTGGTCCCTCTTGTCCGGGAGAGTGTCTGCATCTCTGGTCGGTGGGGGTGTCCCCTCCTGGTTCCTCCGGGGGAGATGCATGCATTCCCTTTTCCCCCCGTCTCTGTGTGGGCTAATTTCCGCTTTTCCAGGAAGAGCAGCAGCAGGCTGGGAGGGGAGATGCATGCATTCCCTTTTCCCGTCTCTGTGTGGGCTAATTTCCACTTTTCCAGGAAGAGCAGCAGCAGGCTGGGCAGGAGGAGGAGGAGGAGGAGGAGAGCAGCTGTTGCATAACGAGGGTGAGGATGTATGAGGAGGGGGGGCCCAGCCCACCTCCCTTTCCCTCTGCCTTGGTGGCGCTGGTGCTGGGGAGCAGGGTGGCCAGTGGGGCCCCTGTGGGAGGACACCGTGGGGGCACCCACTTCCTTTTGTGCATCTCTAGAGAGAGGCAGGAGAGTGTCTTGGAGGGACCGTGGAGGGGGGGTGTCTCTTTGGGCTGGTAAAGCTCCCATTACCAGGAATCAGTGGCTTTACTTTGGAATCCATGAGAGCTCAGAGTGAAAGAAGTCTGTAGGGTGCCACAAGCTTTCTGTTCTCACTTGTGCGTGACTGATGTTCTAGGCCAGTGGTTCCCAGATGTTCTTGGCCTGCAGAAATCCAGAAATCCAGGCCAGCCTGGCTAGTGTTGAAAGGCTTCTGGGAGTTTTACCTCTGGGGACCCAAGATGGTCCACCCCTGTTCTGATGCTTCTCAGGCTTCCTTGTGCCACCTCTTCTCCTTTCCTAGATGGACTGGATCCGGGGCGCTTGATGGTAGGGAGAGGCCACTAGCTGTCCCTCCTGCTGCCACAACCTTGCTTTCATGCCAGCCCACCTTCCCTCAAAGAAATGGGTGGCCCTCATTCTCCACGTGGGGGTAGAAACCCATCATGATCCTGGCTCTTTGTGAGCAGGCAGGGGCAGTATTTGGAGGTGCTCTTGAAGGATGACTCAAACACCGAAGTGGCGAGTCCCCACCCGCCGGCTCCTTCAGCGGGCTTCCCTCTGGTGAAGTCCTTGCCCTTCGGTTGAGGCCCTCCAGGGAGCTGGGGGAGCTTTCTTTCTCCCTCCTTTGCTATTGCCAAGCAGAGGGCGGGAACCGGGGCACAAGACCTGCCTGTTGGTACAGGCCAGGGGGAGGAGGAGGAGGAGGAGGGGGGTGATGAGGAAGAGGATGATGAGGCTCACTCTGCAGCTACCTTCCCAGGACAGGAGCAATCTGGGGTTGCTGGCTGTTTTCCTGGAAGACATGGGCTGTCTTGGGTTCTTCCTCGAATTCCCCCTCCAGCCTTCCTTCCTTCCAAGAAGGGTTGCAAGACAAGCAGGTCCTTTGGGTGGGCTGTGTGTAGGTGAGGAGAAGGGTGGGGGGGCGAGCAGAATCCGAAGGGTCCTTTACTGGGGATTTTGAGGGAATAAAGCTGTAGAAACACCCCCGTCCCCCCCCCCAAATCCTGTCCTCTCATTTCCCAGCGGAAGGAGTGTCCCCGTGTGAGAGAGCATGTGGGACCCACCCCCACCCCATCCCGGGTTCCTCCTTTGCTGTGTGACTGCCTTGTCCTCGTGCCTCAGGATCAGACCAAAAGCCCGTCAGGCGCTCAGGCCCTTTTGCCCTCAGATCCCCCTCAGCCGGGGGGGGGGGGAACAGCTGTGGTGTGTTGGGAACCGAATGTTCACCTGGCGCTGGGCGGACACTGGGGGCCTCCCCCTGGAAGCAAACAACAAGCAGGAGAGGCAGAATGTTGTGGCATCTTAAAGACGAGCAAAAATGTGGTCTGGCAGCAGCGTTTATGGGCCACGGCCAACGTCGGCCGTGTGCTCTTGGCCCCTCCGAGGAAGCTGTCCATGGGAATGTCTTTGCTCCAGCCGCCCTGTTTGCCTTGAGAGGGGAGGCGCCGGATGCCTTGCTTTTTGCTACCATGCGCGCCACGGCTGCCCGTCTTGGTCCCTGGAGGGAGGTCTCCTTCACCATAGATGCCCTTCACACCTTCGGGAGGATTTCTCACAGAGGAAACACCCGGGTTCTTATCTCTGCCCCGGGAACTTTATCTTGGTTAAGCTTAATCGGAGAGGGGAGGGCTTGGAGCTAGCGAAGGCTAACTTGACGCTGGAATCCTCTTCTTGACTCTGACTACAGAGCGAGGCCTGGGGCTTCGGAACTAGGGGCTTCTCTCTTCCCCCCCCCATCACCTCTTGGCTCAGCAGGATGGGAAGTCACCGGACTCTTGTCTCCCCAGGGAGGAATTTCCGGGTGACCTTGACAGAGCTCTCCCCTTGGCCGGAGCGATTGCCTGGAACAGACAAAGGACAAACCCAAACCCACCCCCCAAACCCCAAGCTGCCCAAGTTTGTGCAAAATAAAAAGAAGAAAAAGGAGCTCTGTTTTACTGCAGAATTCCTTGGTTTGCAAAAGCCCCCAGTTACAGATAGGCGGGGTATAAATGGAATAAATAAAATAAATAAATAAAATACTTGAGAGCAGAGATTACGTCTGCCTTATTTAAGCAGCTCTGGGGGAGCTGTTAACTGCTGGGTTAATGAACAGCCGGGCTTGTGGTGTGTGTGTGTGTGTGTGCGCGCGCAGGCATTTGTGTGGCTAACTTCTCCAAGGGAAAAGGTCACTGCAGGCAGTTTGTATAGCTTTCGGAACATGGAGGGAAAGGCCCCTGTTGTCCAGCTGGAGGGGAGAAAACTCAGCCCGGCCTTAACCCAAGTCCTTCTAGGCAGGAACCTCAGTCTAAATCTTGCAGAAGGGGGGAATTAGGAAGGGCTCCTTCACTCCCTGTTAAGTCCAGGATTGCTGCCGCTGCCTCCCCATTTCTTAGCAGGGGGTCTCTCTTTTTTCCTGCCCCCCCCTTTTGATAGCCATCCCCAGATCTTGCCTGTGGATTCCCCTTCCCCTGCCTCTGATACTCTTAGCCCTGCTGTGACCTGGAGGGAATGAAGAGAGAGACAAAGAAAGAGAGAGAGAGAGAGAGAAGGGGATAGTCAGAGCAGGCAGGGGTGCTGGGGGCCGGTCCTCCCCCTCTTCCCAGCTTCCATGAGCTCCTTTGCGCCTCCGCTATCATTATTCGGAGCCCTTGAATGGAACAGTGCTGTGCTCAGCTCCAGGCTGGCGCTGTCCTCAGGTGACCCCGAAGGCTGCTCCCACGTGGGCTCCGCAGCCGCCTGCTTCGGCCAGGGAGGGCGAGGGACTCCTACGTCATGGGGACTTAATGTCCTTGGTGCTCCCAGGAACAGCGGGAACAGGACGCACCAGCCTTTCCCCGGGAGGGTGGGTGACAGCCTCCTCCCCCCCCCAAGGAGATTTTGGCAGGTGGGAAAGGCTGGACCGCACCCGGCAGGCAGCTGCTTTAGACATTTCCACTTGCATTTTTTGGGGGGAGGAGAGGGATTGAAGGAAGAGAACCTTGCCTGGATCTGGCCCTTCTCTCTACCTCTCTCACGGACCCGCAACTTCTCAGGAGCCCCTGCTCTCTTTCTCAAACCCACTGCTCCTCAGTTTTCTTTGGGGCTTTTAAAAAAAACCCTGCGTCTCAGTGTTCCTAGCCTTGGGAAGAAGCAAAGGATCTTTGCATCTCAGCCATTTGACTGGGTTGGCTTGGATCACATGAGAGCAGGCGGCTGGGGTTGATGGTTGCAGTCTAAAGCTACCAGAGAGTCCCTTGGCCAGCCAGAAAAATGTCTGGGAATTGTACTTCAAAAAGTAGCCTTTTTTTCCATGCTCTTGTGCAAGGTCCTACTGAAGGTTTTTTCTTCCTCTTCTTGTTGCACAGGGTAGCTGCTCTGCACCCTTTCATCAACAGAGCATTTGCCCCCACTTTGCTTTCTGTCTGTTTGCTGAATATTTGGGGGAGATATAGGGTGGAGAATCCATCCGTCGCTATGTGAAGACTCCTTGGGATTCTAAAGACTTGACCTTCGAAGTTGTGGTCTGTGTTAATGCTAGTGCACGTAAAGGCAAAAGGCATGGGTTCCCAAGAGCATATGCAGAGTGCCTTCTTTCTACAGCTTATTAAGGGCCATCTGCATAAAGTCTCAACAGCATTTTCTTGTGACATCTGTGAAGTCCCTGAACTTTCCTGGGTGTTCTGCTCCCGGTTTCTCTCTCCCTCCTCCCACCCGACACTGTCACTCCTCTGTTGCATGCATGTGACCTGCATTTCTTGCACCTGCTACAGATCAGCTGGCTGGATTCTTCCCTGGGCCTTGAAGTGGGGAGGGGGTGGCTGGGGGGCCAGCCTGGTAAATCCCCTTCTATGAAAGCTTTGAGTCTGTTTCCCCACAAGCTCTTCTCCACCCTTTGTGGCTTAAAAGGGCATGAGGAGAAATAAAGGAAGACTCAATCGGGCCCCCTTTGTGCTGCCTGGTTACCTAGAAGAGATTTCTTCTCGCCAAAGGTGAGCAGGGAATATCTCCCTGGTAGAGGCAACATGGGATTATGGCTGCTGGAGCTGAGCCAGGGAGGGATCGGCCGATCTGTGAGCTGTTTGGTCCTGTCCCTGTCAATGAACCCCCCCTCCTCTTTCATCCCCTTCCCCTCTAGGCCATGGTGTCCTGTTATCCTGGCAGTGGCATGGGTTATGTGCGGCATGTGGACAACCCTCACGGAGACGGACGCTGTGTCACGTGCATTTATTACCTAAACCGGCAGTGGGATAGCAAGGTAGGTGTGTGGGGGGGGTGAGAGGGAGGGAAAGGGGAGGCCCTCCACCCCACACCCCTGCTCTTATGCATGACACACGTCCTCTCCCCCTGTGGCGCACCCCTCCTTTCCTACCACGCTCCCTGTTCTGCCCCTTCCTGCCCTCTAGCAGATGAGACTCTGCTTAGCGTTCTGGGGTTCTGTGGGCAAATCTGGAAAGGTCGGTTCTCAGGGTGGGGGACAGAAGAAGGAATGCCAGGTGAGCAAACCGAAGGGCAGAGCCCAGCTGTCAACCTCTGGGAGGTGGGAAGTAGTAGGTAAAGTCTGTCTGCCCCTGAGCATTTGTGGAGTGCCTCACCTCCCAGTTGACGGATTAATGACAACAATCCCACTCAAATTTTGGGTGCAAATGCATGGCATAAACACAGGCTGTGGGACCCCCTTGGTCTTTCCCCATTGCTTTTGGTGTACCGGCTGCACAGACGTCTCCTAAGTAGCAGACGATGGCATCTTCATCACATTTGTTTGGCTGCAACTCTTCTTCACCCAAGCTGTGCTTACAGTAACCTCTGAAAAGGAACATAGTTACAAAGCAGAAAAGTTACATCGTTCTAAGGCAAAAATGTTTCCAGGTAGTTGCTGGTTTTAAATAAACATAAGCGGAACATCTTACAGGAGAGAAACTTCAAAGATTCAATGATCCCCAGATAATTCTCCTTACTCCCTCCAGCTCAGTGGTGACTGGCAAGAAAGGCTCCCCTGAGTTCGGGCAGGATTCTCTCCTGCCTCTCTCTGGAGATGTTGCTGCCAGGATTAGACCCAGGATGCGATGTGTGCAAAGCAGCAGCTGTACAACCAGTGCTTTATCCACTCCAGCACAGATATCGAGGAAGATGGGGGTATTTTGTGCACCCTGTTTTTATAGTTTTACCCAAATTGGGGTTTTCTAGTCCAGTTCTTTCCCTTTCAAAGCGGCCAGCCAGATACCTCTGAGAGGTTCCCAGCAGGGAATCCGAGCAGTAGCATTTTCTTTCTGCAGTTGAAGAAACTCACCCCATCACCACCGGGGCTCACAAGGTAGACTGCCCCTTGTTCTGGAGGCTCTCTAGGCCATGATCACAATGAGCAGCATTTTTCTGCTTGTATCCATTTCAGTTGGCACATTTTTATCCTCCATCTCCCAGGGTCCCATCTTGTGAGAGGATGAAGGGGTGGAATCAGATGAACACACATTTAAAAAATCATAGCCGACAAAGGACCTTCCTCCCCTGGGAGCTATTTCAGGGCACCTTGAGGTCATACAAGCTGGGGGTGGACCCCTCCCCTGCAGGCAGTAGGTTTCACGCATTGTCCTTCAGAACATGCCTCTTAGGCAGCTAAGCAGCAGAGATCTGTTGCTGCTTTAATTTCTCTCTCCAAAAGTCTTGAGTTATTTCTTGCAGCAGCTCCACATGGCAGATCGGGGGGTGAGGTGGGTTTGCAGGATGCAGCCCCAGGCCAAGGATTGGCTGGAGAATCCCCGACACCTGAGAGGTCTTGTTGTCTCCTCTGCTTTTGCTGAGAAGGAGGGAATGAGGCTGCCCTCACCCCAAGGGAACTGCATAGGTTTCATTTTGTGTTTCTGGCTACTGGCATCACCCTAATCTGGAAGCCAAGCTTCTGCCCTGGAACAGAGTCTGGAAGAGACAGTTCGGTCCCTCCTGCCTAGCCATGCGGTGCACCCGCCGGGCAGCTCCACGGGGCACCACCGCTTGGGCAGTGTTTCTGCTTGATTGAGGGGGGGGGCAGAGGACAGCGCTCCTTCCTTTCCAAACACCTCTTGCAGTCGGACTTGGTTCCCCCCCCCACCTCTGGGCCTGTCCTTTCCCCTTACTGCTGGTTTTCTTCTTTCAAAAGCAGTCAGATCCACCATTGCATAGCTTAAGGAGATGTCCTTGTGGGTCAGGCGGGGTGGTCTGGTTGCTGCCCCTCCCCTTTCTTAATTAGCCAGTCTGCAAACGGCCACCCCCTTTCCTCTTCCGACCAGGTCCATGGCGGCATCCTGCAGATCTACCCAGAGGGGCGTCCGGTTGTGGCCAACATTGAGCCCATCTTTGACCGCCTCCTTATCTTCTGGTCTGACCGGCGAAATCCCCACGAAGTGAAGCCAGCCTATGCTACAAGGTAAAGTTGTGAGGGGTGGCGGCGGTGGCATAATGCGCTGCATGTGTTTGGGCAAAGGGAGCCAACTTCTTAAGCATCCTCTCTCATTTGGGAAAGAAGTGGAAGACGGAGCTTGAAACTCACTAGGTAGCAAATAGCAAAGTTGCAAGCAATGGTACTGGTAGTTACAAAGTTACTTTTTAGACTTAATCAATAATACCTAAGCTACTTAGCTCCAAGAAGTAACACTTAAATTACTTGGGTACATTTACTTTTAGAAAGTTACTTTTAGGTAGTTATTTTAAAAGGGCATTCTAAGTCCTTTTTAGATTCCTATCTTTACATGAATTTTTCAGCTTTTGTGCCATCCTCTTATCAATCCTAAGTGGCAAAGGAAGTGCTTTTTGAGTGTCTTTTTTTTGTATTTTCAATAATGTTTCTAAAGTGCAGTATCAGAATTGATCACTAGGGGGAGCCAGAAAGCTCTTTCCCTGAATTATTCCCAGCCTGTTGCTAATGATAGACATTCCTTGCCTTCTTGATTGTCTTTTGATGCCTGAGAAGGGTATTCGAGACGACCCCCTGCCGCTTATCATAGGGCTCAAAATCTGTTAGTGTTACTTGTGCGCAAGCCCTAGTGAACTGACCAGGGAACTGCAGAGGAGCCGTATTAGTGGCGCCTGGCTAGTCCCTACTGGGGCTGTTTGCCTGTGCACTTCAGATCAGCTAGCACAGGAGAAATCCCGCTCAGATCACGTACTGTGCTGGCCGGACTGGTCTGCCCATCCCTGTCTTCCATGATTACTTCCCCCTGTCTGTTGCCCCAGGCTCTTCCGACTCAGATGTTATCACCCAATCCACAAGAGTCCATTGACTGACTTGTCTTCATGCTTCCGTCTTTCTCAGGTATGCCATCACGGTCTGGTATTTTGATGCCAAGGAGCGGGCAAGAGCGAAAGAGAAACGCCAGCTGGGTAAGTGGAAGTGCTGTCTCTCTCTGTGCGTGTACATGCACATGCATGCACATGAGCACGCAGGGACTCACTGGGGGTTCAAGGCCTCAAGGCTTTAGCAGCTGAGCTCTGTTTTGCTAATACCAGCAAAAAGGTGGACAGCCTGGGAGCATGTGATCCCCACGAGAACAAAAACCAAGAACAGATAAGGAGTCTGGAATTTGCCTGAATATTGATGGGTTCTGCTTCGGCTGTGGTTGGCCAGGGAAAGTTTGCAGTGGATGGTTTGATGAAAACACCAGGCCAGCTTGCCCACAGGGTGAAACAGGCCAGTTCCACGCTGGGCTTAATGGGGATGCTGCTAAGATCACGCGGACCTCAATCCTGCTTGTGTCTGTTGCCCTCCTGTTTTTGGCCTCGGGCAAGGAGTTGTTGGCTGCTGCCTTTTCACGTTGCTTTCCACAGGGTGATTTCCATCTTGCACCTGCCCGAAGCGGAGATGGCGCAGGTCACTTGATCCTCTACATTTTTGGAGGCTGTGCCTCTTGGCAGCCAGATGAGTTATTCTGAATAAATACATCCAGTTCTGTTCAGGCAGTAAAGGAATATATGGGTTTTTTTTAAAAAAAAATGTAAAACTTTAATTGGTGTGTATGAGGAATAAAGCTTCCCTGAAAAAGGAAAGCTTTGACTTTCCAGGTACCTTTTGAGTTTCAGCATCTCTCTTGTTTTCATCCCAAGCTCTGTAGGCGAGCCCCCACTTCAGATGACCTGCTGATCACGGGGCAGCCCCCAAATGCCCTCTTCACTTCGGTCGGTCCCAGCGGAAAGCAAACCAACATCTTTTTGATTCCCTGCCAAGCACGTTTTTCTCTCCCTTTCTTTCCATTCCATGGGCTACCACCCGGCCTCCAAACATGCTTTCTGTGTCTAGTCTTCCCAAGTGGGATTGGGTTGGGGGAGAAGGACTTCTGAGCATGTGCAGAGAGCACATCCTTTCTTCCCAGGTTTCCCACACGTGCAGGGTTGGGAATTCCTGGTTGAGAGGCCTGCCTTCCACGACTTACCACTTGGGTCTTGTGTTGTTTTTTTCTCCCTCCCCAGCAGCTGCTCAGAAGGAAGGGGGTCCCTCTCCAGAAACCCCAACCTCGAACAGCCCCACTTGAGACAGCGGGATCTCGCCGCGGAGACGTGGGAGCCAAAAACCTTTCCCTTTCTTTGGCCATTTCAAGCCGCCCGCTGCCGCTGCTGCCATTGTTGCTGCTGCCGCCGCCGCCGCCACCGTTGCCGCCGCCTGGGTCTGCTGCTGCTCCCCTCCCCCACCGGCCCGGGCCAGATGCAGCGGAAAGGGAAGGACGGTCCTGTGCGGTCACCCAGCCCAGGAGGAGGAGGAGAATGGGTTGTAGAGCGAGGGCAGGGGTGGGCTGAGAAGGAATCCTGCACCCTTGTGTGCGTGTGCGTGTGCGTGTGCGTGTGCGTGTGTGTGTGTGTGTGTGTGTGTGTGTGTGTGTGTGTGAGAGAGAGAGAGAGAGAGAGAGAGAGAGATCAACATAGGGAGAGCCCATGGGTTTTAGGGTCCCTTGTTGCATTTCTTCATCTAAGCCAAGAGTTCCCCAAACCTAAGGAGGGGGGTTGCTCTCCACCTCCCGGGGGGGTGTTTGCTGTCCCCCCCCCGGTGCCTGTTTGGTCCTGCTGCTCATTTTAATCCACCTTTGAATCTCCAAAGAGCAGGGAAACCTGGGAGGGAGCAGAGAGAGAAAAATTAAAAGATTGCGACTGGGGTGGTGGTGGTGGTGGGGAAATGGAGAGCGAATGAAAACCAGCTCTTGTACTGACTCTGAGATGGGACGGAATAAACATTACCTCATGAAAAGTAGCCTCGGGCTCTCCGTTGGGGGAAGGAGTCCAGGAAGGAAGAATCAGAATCATAGAATCAGGGAAGCTCCTCTTTGCAGATTTGGTATCTCTAGGTGCCTAGGGGGCATTTTATAGGGATTTTAAGGTAAAAAAAATGAATTGATGAATTGATTTGCCAGGGGGAAAAATCATAAATTCATAATTCATGAGTCAAATCACAGATCAAATTGAATTGCCTATTTTCTGATTTCTACCCTTCTCTGATACGGGCTGAAGAAGATGCACTGAGAGAAATGGCCACAAGGTGGTGGCATTGAGCCGTCTTGGGAGGGTGTCCCTTGGACAGTTTGGACTAGGGTTTCTTAAAAGGAAAGAAGGAGGGAATCACATCTGGGTTTGGTTTCTTCCCTCTCTGACTTCTGGCCTGAGGTTCATTTTTTTTTTCCTTTTCTTTTTTTGGTGGATGAGTGCATGGGAATTAGTCACAAGCAAGTGGTCCGAGAAATGCAGACCACAATTGAAAGTGTGAAGCTTGTTGGAAAACATAAAAGGACTTGGACTTTGGTTGAATAAATAGTAGGACCATTAATTAGTTAACTGTTTGCCGTCAAGTCAGTTTCAATTTGTGGCAGTCCTCGTCAGCGGGTTTCTAGGTACAGGCTATGAAAGCCAGAATCGCTACGGACCGGGGCAGTGCCCTAGAAATAAAAAAGGCAATACACCGCAAAAAGTTAACAACTGCCTTTAGAATGTACAATGTGCAGCATTATGTATTCTCAGATCTACTATATATATGGTCTGGAACTGTGAACGTAGAAGCCTTCGACAGGTGTGTGCATCACAAGACATTCAGAATTTCCTCTTATCAAGAAGTGATCAGCAAAGAAAAGATGCAGCGAATGAATTGAAGACTAGGATTTTTTTTAAAAAGTATAAGAACATTCAGAAGGTTTACAATAACTTGATAATCATGACAAATGAAAAACACAGTTTATTGCAGCTGATTGGGCAAAGTAAAACAAATAATAAAACAAGCGCAGGAGAGAAAATAAAGTCTGGGGGACTGGCTTGGACAGGTGATGATGCATCACAGAGTCGAACCACTTTGTCCAGAATCATAAATGTCCAAACCTCAGGAGACAGAAAAAGAAAAAGGGAGGGTGTAATTTGACACCCCCGCCCCACTTCCCTCACTGTCATAGTGCTTGGCTGTAATCCTGGAAATTAGACACCAGAAAACTCTGGCATAAAATTGTATTCAGAGGTTCCACAGGATGGCAGGCGAAGGAGGTAGCAAAGCGGTGCAGCTGTGCAGCCGAGATATTGTGGCTATGTGTGTGTCCCTTGATTCCACATTGGCATAGAAAATGCAAAATAATCAAATATCATTCAGAAGTTGAGCATCACTCTCAGGATTTCGGCCACTTCTCAGGATTAAACGCAAGCTGCTCCTCCTCCCTGGATGCACAAAAGTGTGTGGATGGTTCTGTACACACACCCCAGCGGAGTAGAAGCATAGCTGAATCAAGATTTGCAGTTGCCTGGAAATCTGGGGAGATGGAGGGTAAACAAACTGGTGGGCTTTGTGGTTTCTTACCCCTTGGAGTGGCCCGGACAAGATGCCTATAACAAAGTGCAAAAAAAGAGGAGGAAGCCACAGAGACTTGTGTACAGGGTGCAGTGTTTGGAAATTCTTGGTGCAGGACGGTGATGCAGTTGAAAGCACATGACACAAGCTGCTGTGGGGTCTCCGAGGGGTTGCAAGGCCACCAAGGAAGCTGCAGGGTCTCCTGTCTGGGTCCAGGCACCTCTCCTGGAGGCCCCGAGGGGCCAGGCAGTGAAGGTTCCTGCCTCCCTTCCAGCACTAGCGAGCGAGGACCCGGAACTGAAAGGGACGGGGCAGATTTCCCAGGCCTGTGCACTGAGGGGTCAGGTCAATCTCTGCCGGGGTGACCAGAGGCTGGAGGGAGAAGTGCTGGAGGAGGGTGGTGAGGAAGAGGAAGATTTCCATGCGGGCCAGCCCGGCTCCAAGACAGATCCGCTTCCCTGCAGAAAGGAGCAGAAAGCTCGTGACCTCAAAGAGTCCATTCAAACAAGCGGGTTTGCTACCTTTCAAGGTGGCCTCGGGCAGGCGTTCTAACTCGGCTTGGCAAAACCAGCAAAAAGCGAAATATTGTAGCACTTCGAAGACTGAACAGTTTTATTTCAGTGTGAGTCGAAGTCCATGGGATTGCAAATAAATGACCTGTGTAATTAAATAACATCCCCATGATCTGTAAGGCGACAGATGACAAAGTGACGAAGGTTTGTTAATGCAAAGATGAGAAGAGCAAGCCGTTAATTACTTCCCTTGGCAGATCCTGCCTGGAGTAATATATGCACATCAAGTGGCCTTGACCCACTTACATGGAAAAGCTAAAAGAAGTTCACAATGGGGTTAATATCCTGGCCCAGTGCTTTTTCCAGGGCTTCCTTAAGCCACCCTATTTCCTGCCAGGATTTAGTGGCATCTTGTGGCCACTTCCAGTTATTTTGGAAGGCTGCTACTTTTGGGCCAGTTTTACCTCCCCTCCTCCTCCTGGAGCTTCTTGGTGTTGTGTGAGCCCTTCTACCGTTAAAGGCCTTCTCTTCCAGAGAACAGAGAACGGCAGAAGGCCACGTCCCTGGCCTCTTCTGAAAGATTTCTATTCTCAGCTGGGCCACAACAGGGTCAGAGTGGGGTCAAGGTTTTAATTAGTCTGAGCGTCTTAACACAGCGTGCTTTCTAATCTGGCCTTGGGCTGGCCGTTCAGTGCAGGGGCTCAGACGTGAAACTTGTCACAGGGGTGCAAGAGGGCTCCCCACCACCACCTTGGGAATGGGGGTCAAGTAGGGGTCTGCACCCTCAAGCCTTATAATTCCTGAATAAGGCCCTCTCCTGATATCAGCTCCTGAGTCATAACGAAACTCTCTCTCAATCTCTCTCTCTCTCCTCCCCCCCCCCACATGAAACACTCTCTCTCTCTTTCTCTCTCTCTCCCACATCACCCTGGTTTAGGTTATGATCCTGCCTTTTCAAGCTTCTCTCTCTTTGGCTTTTCCTCAACTCCTACCTGTTTGGTTGTCCTGCCTTGGGGGTATCGCCAGCCTCTTCCACTGGCAGTCTGTGGTTTGAGCAGGAGACACCCTCTCTTAGCTCCCACCAGCAGCAGACCATGTTCACATCATGGACCATCCATTCTCTCTGGCTAGATCTGAAGCCACAGAAAAACACTTTTTCCCTTGCTATTGTTTGGGGCAGAGTTTGGACAAGTGGCAAACCCTGGAGCAGAAGTCCCCGAACCTCTCAGCCAGGATTTCCTCCTGAGTTTTTGTCATTCAAAAATAAAACAACCCTTCCCTTTTCCAAGCTGCCATTAATTAGGTTACCTGGGGCAAAAGGCATGAATGCATCATTGCTCTTGAAAGAGCAATTTTCATCCAGAAAGTTGTCTGGGTTGAAGGAAGTTGGGTCCTTAAACTGGCTGATGAAGTAAGATCCATTCCCTTTCTTCCATACCTGGGGCAAAAGGCATGAATGCATCACTGCTCTTGAAAGAGCGATTTTCATCCAGAAAGTTGTCGGGGTTGAAGGAAGTTGGGTCCTTAAACTGGGTCGGGTCATAGTGCACTGAACTCAGCAGAGGGATCACGTTGGTGCCCTGCGGAAGGGTTTGGGGTAGGCAGAGGAGGCAGAAGGCGTGTGGTTAGAATTTTGGATGGAAACAAGAAAGAGAAGTAAAGCTAACAAGGTCCATAGGTGAAAGCCAAAAACTTGGTGTTTCATTGATTTCTTGCATTGGCCATGAAGTATAACCATTGCATGTTTCAACTCCTGTCCTCTGAGAAGGATTTAAAGCAAGACAAACTCCTGGAGTGCAGGCTGTTACCTAAAATGTTGTAGAGAAACACAAAGAACTGGCAGATGCCATGGTAACAGAAATCAGAGTGAGAGCTGAGTCTCAGGATGTAGAAAATCATCAATTGTCTCTATTCCGATTTTAAAAGAAATCATTTATTATTTTATGTCTATCTCCTAAAGAAGTCTGAGTGCTGAAATGCACTGAGCATTTTTAAAGCTGGAATACAGACTACTGTATTTACATTTTTCTACATCCTGAGACACAGCCTTTCATTCTGATTTATGTTCTCTAGAACCACAAGAGTAAACATGCCGACTACTCAGCTGTTCCTTGCTCATGTAAACAGAAGAGAAAGAAGATTCCTTTCTATCTAAAAAGCGGAAGAGAGAATTCCCACCCTCACGTTGTGTTGAGAAGGAATTTACGGAAGGGGAAATGCAGAACCGCCATGAAGAGGAGGAGGTTGGCTGACCTGGAAGAAGCTTCCCAGAACAGGGGTGGCAAATGACAATGATTTTGGAGGGAAACCACGGATTTGCTCAGGCTTTCAGTCTGAGCTTTAAAGGTGCTGTTCAAGGTGCTGAAACATTTGGGGTGGGTGGGCGATTTGATGTTCAGCACCTTGGAGAGAGCTCCTGGCAAAATTTAGCTTAAAACGATTCCTGCCAAGTTGGTGCCACCGGCCTCCCTGGGTCCCAAGCCTGGCATTTGCCCTCAGTTCACAGAGATGCTACCCTGGTGTAGCTGCTCAAGAAGGACGGGGTGGGGGTGGGGCAGGAATTTGGCACCTTGGGAAGCAGGAAGTCTCGGAAGGGGGTGTCCCGGGTCACTGCACGAGGGAGCCCCATGGGCAGCATGGAGATGAAGCGCTGGATCTCATAGAGGACGGCATCCGTGTAAGGCATGTTCTTGCGGTCGGCTAAGCATGGGGCGCGATTGGGCCCGATCACCCGGTCAATCTCTTCGTGGACTTTGGCTGGAAGGAGACAGACTAGAGACAGACTGCAAGAGAAGGGAGGGCCTGGGCGGCAGCCCTGGAAACACCACTCTGATCGAAATCAATCCGAGGAGCTTCTCCTCATCGGATCTAATCTACGGGCCACTTGCCACTCGTGGGGGTCACCCAGCTGGCCCCGAGAAAGAGGGACACCCCACGAGCTCACCTGGAGCTTGGGAAAAGTGACTTAAACGGTCTCTCCTGCCTTCCCCCCTCCCCGGTCTCACCTGCTACCTCAGGATATTTCATGAGGATGAGGAAGCTGTAGCGCAGGGTCGTGCTGGTCGTCTCGGTGCCCCCAAAAAACAGGTTGTGGGTGGTCATGATCAGCGTGTCCATGTGGAAGTAGCTCAGTGGGTCCTGCTTCTCCTGGAAGGGAGGGGACATGGACGGACCTGATTGAGACCGATCTCTTCCTCGTAGGTCCCGGGCCAGGTCATTTCCCGACCAGGATACGATTCAGGCTCAGTCAATCAAGGCAGAAAGCATCTTGAGTCTCCTTCTGTAGCTCAGGTGGTTATATGTTATTTTGTGCCGTGGGACAGGGTAGGGAGTTACCTGCTCCATGCGGATAAGAAAGCAGTCGATGAAGTCCCGGGGGGCAGCAGGGTCCAGATCCTTTTGGTGCGAGCGGATGCGCTCGGCGATGAACTTCCGGAGATCCTCAAAGTTTCGGAAGATTCGGTGATGGGGTCCAGGGAGAAAGTCCATGAGCCGAGGAAAAATGTTGTAGAGCTGGAAAAGAGGAGTCAAAGAGTGAGCAGAGGAAGGCCAAGAAAGGCGGAATACGCTGGGCGGAATAATATGGATTGTTGGTTTCTAATATTTTAGGAGAATGAATTTAAGTATGGTAGGATATGAAACGAGCAGGTGTATGGATGATTATAAAGTGCTCAAACGTTGTATAATTATTCAAACCAGATTCTCTCTCCCCCCCCCCTCATATTTCTAGCTTCTACTTTTGTTTCTGGCTAGCAATACCAGTTTAGGGACCTGGGTCAGGTCGGTTTGAATGCCAGAGGGAGATTTTTTCCCCCTTACCCTTCTGCAAAACGTTTGCCCCCTCCAGCCACCCTTTAGGAGTAGCCATTTGGCTTTAATTGCCTGTTTTAACTTAGCTGCCCCTCTTTTGCTGACATAACCGTTACTTGCACTCTTTCAGCTCTGAGCAGAGCACAGGTGGGCTCTGTGCTCCACCTGAGGCAATGGGCGGGTCGATCCACTGCCCCCCCCCAAGCTGAATTTGGGTCTACAGGGAGGGCAAAGAAGGTAAACAGATGCGTTGACACCATTGCCTGATGTTGAACTTTGTCAAGAAACCATCTTCGAGAGCCACAGCTATTTCCTCGTGTCAGATTTTTTGGGGGAGACATTGTTCTTCCGTGCTCTCACTAAATTTCATATCACTGAAGCTGGAAGAAAAGTTAGGAGAACTTGACAGGTCAGATCCGGGTGGAATGATGCCAAAATTCCGAGCTGAATAATACCCTTATTGGAGCACTAAAAATGTATAAAGGAGGGTATTATTTAGCTCAGAATCTTGACGTCATTCCACCTGGATCTGAATAAGGAAAGCAACAGAGAACTGCCAGATAGCTCTGTGGTTCAAGTCCCTGTCTGCAGAGCTCAAGGTTGGGAGATCGATTCCCCCACCTGCCTCCTGGACAGGGGCTGGGCTCCCTGATCTATAGGGTCCCTTCCAGCTCTGCAGTTCTAAGATGATGATGATTATATTTGCCTAGGTCTCACCCACGGAGTTTGGGGGCAAGGATTAGAAAAAGACACACACACCCCCAGTTTGGTCTTTCCTGTCTTGTCTTGTGCATTTTTTTCTCTCCCCCACCCTCCAGACCATAACCGCCCCCGCCCATCTCCCTTCGATGCCTTCCCCAGCGTGCCCCGGCCTGCTGCCCCTTACGTGCCTCGCCCCACTTGGAGCTCATGATCTTGAAGTTCTCGTTGAGGTGGTTCAGGAGGGTGAGGAAGTCGTTGTCTTCATAGTCGAAGCGGCGGCCAAAAACCACAGCACAGATGACGTTGGAGACGGCACGGCAGACGAGGTCGAGGGGGTTGAAGGGCGCGCCTGGGAGAGAGAATGGAAGACACGGAAGTGGTGCTGAGAGCCGTGGCAGGAGGGGTCCCTTCCTTTGGGGGTGGGGTGGGGTCACGAATCCCCCAGTGCAGATGGCAAGGCCAGTCCCATCTCTTGGGCCAGGCTGCTCGCCTGCTGCCAGATGCCAAAGGGCTCCCTGGGCATCCTTAACCGTTGTCTGTCCTACCTGCCAGTCCAGCGCCCAACATCTGTCCAAACAATGGGACTCACCACCAGTGTTCTGGAACTCCTTGACAAGGCATTGGGCCTCCTCTTGGATCCGGGCCTCGATGCCACTTTTCCCCATCCCAAAATTCTTCAACGTCTGCAGCGCGAAGCGACGCAGGATCTTCCACTTTTCCCCATTGGAGAAGGCGATGCCTGCAGGAAGCAAAAGCAAACCATCTCCCTTCAAAGAGAGCAAAGAGCCGGGAACTGGGGTGATGGTGGACTGGAAATGTTCCTTCCTGAATCCCTCTCTCCAGAGATGCTCAGGGCAACATGTATATCTTCCTTATGATAGCCTTGCCAGGAGTAGAGTATCAGTACATACGGAAACTGATTTGGTATTTTCCAGGTCTATGTTTAGATAGGTACTTTTAAGCTCCCTTCGTCCCTCCTCCTCCTCCTCCTCCTCCTCCTGCCAGGGTACTTTCTGTTTTTTCTCTCCTTAGCTAGAGAGAGGCAGATCACAAGAGACAGACCACAAGCATAATGGGTGCCAGAAAACCTGGTGAAAGGTGAGCTTCAGGAATTAAGTTTAGGGAACCTTTGCTTCTGTCCTGTCCTACTCATGAATTGATTTCTGGAGACAATAAACAGTAAGAGTATGATCAGATGGCTTCAGAAGCATGCGTCTGATTGCATCAGGAAGGGTCACTTTGCAGGGCAGGATCTCCCTTAAAGCAACCCTTTCATCTGCCAGGGAATTGCCCCAGCTTGGCCCTTAAAGGCAGAAGCCCTACAGCTGGAGCAAAAAGGTCAGGCGTGGACACAGATCAGGGCTTGGATGGTGTGCCTTTCCCTGTGCGTTGTGTGCTCACTCGGAAATAAACTGCATTGGCCTGCTTCGCAAATAGTCCAAAATTGCGATCTGTTTCTGCATGGGATCCCACCTGATGTTTTCCCTTTCCCCCTTAAGTAGCACTCTCCAGAACGACTCGCCCTCTTCAAGAGTCCAAAATCTCAGGACTGGATGGCCGTGCTCTGCTGTAAGAATCCCAAATGATTCCAACTGAGGCAAGCGGGTTGCCTCCCAGGGGCAAACTCTGGGTGTCCCTGAAGGCTGGAGAGCAGGAGAGTTGGTGAGTCTGAACCCCCAGGACATGAAGCCCTCCTGGGAAGGCATCTCATGGAAACTGACAAGGAGTCACACAGCAGTAGGGGTGCTGGTGAGAAATAAATACATGGCAACAAAGTAGGACCCCTGGATAGAGGCTGTGCTATGCATAGAGTTTGTATAATCTTCATTTTTCAGCATCCATTGGGGGGGCAATCGTGCTTTCTCCCCGGCCCCACTTCCTCCCCTTGTGCTTCAGAAGGCCGGGTCCTTCCGTAGGTCAACAGAACCTCCTTATCCAGATGCTCCTCTGTGCAGAGGGGCCTCCTCACTTACCGTTACCCTGAGTGAAGCGATAAAACACCGGGAATTCCCCCCGGTCACTGAAGTCATCTGCCTGGTCCACCAAGGCCTCCTTCACGGCCTGATACCCACAGAGGACCACACAGGGCAGTGAGCCCAAGTGGATGGTGTAGACCGGCCCGTACTGCTTGCTGAGCTGCCGAGACAGAGAGAGAGAGAGAGAGAGAGAGGCTTCTGGGAGCTGCTATGCCAACTTTGAGGCCTGAGCCGGATGGGTGGTTGGACGTGGTGGGCGGTGGGGTTTTGTGTCCTGTGGCCCCCTGAAGCCCAGCAGATTGGGACCAGTGGGAGTGACAGCCCACAGCCTGGATTCTGGCCCCCAACCATGGCTTTCAGCTCAGTTCCAGGGAATCCTATCCTCTGCGCCTCTTGAAAACCTACTAGGGTTGTTAGAAACTCGAATAGGTTACGACTGGATGGCACCCCTTCTCCGTGTCAGGGCTGAAGCATGCCAGTTGCAAAGCAAGAATACCAACGAGACAGCTCCTGAGCATGTGCAAAGAGCACAATACTGTGCAGCACCAAGAAAAACAGCCACCAAGCGAAGAATCAGGTGTGATTTATCGCCAGGACAAGTGTTCTCTGGACGAAAAGTCCTGCCTGGGGATTGCTTGTCCTGTTTGGACCATTACCTGGCCTGCAGCTCCTATTCTATTCTATTCTATTCTATTCTATTCTATTCTATTCTATTCTATTCTATTCTATTCTATTCTATTGTCTTCTTCAAGCAAACCTCTAACACCCACCCCAAGAGGTGAGGGCAAAATAGGCGGTCTCTGGCAGCTCCCTGGGTAAATGTGGCGATTTTGGGGGGGGGGGTAGTTTATCGGAAGACAGAGAGAATGGGGTGAGGGGCGTTTTTGCAGCACATGCGGGCGAAACAGCCGGAGAAGGACGCTCAGCCCAGCTTGGGAGGGGTTAGGGGGCCGTCTTCCCAATCCTTTTTGTGACTAGAGCCCGGGTCGGGTGGGGGTGCCCCCAGAGATGAGACGGGTTGCCTGAGACTGCAGGGAGTTAAGGAGGGCGATCTGGGGTGCTCGGTTCGGGCGGCAGAGTGGGAGCGTTTGGGCTCGTTTCTTGCGCAAGACGACGACTCTGGCTCTTGTGCGCGAGTCGGTAGGAAACCGGGAGCAGTGCCTGCAGATCTCCGCGGCAAAAGACGCCCCCTTGAGTTTCCCCGGTGGGGTTACTCCCAGGGGACTCGCTCCCGGGGAGTTTTAAGGCTCCACTCCTGCAATAGTGGGAAGGGCGGTCGGTCTTTTGCTAGGCTTGCCTTGAAAC